TTGAGCCTCAATCCATATTGTAGGCTGCAGTCCCTGACCCTCTGCAGCAGGCGCTTCAGGTCCTCCTCAGTTTCAGCAAGCAGGGTTGTGTCATCCACATAACGCAGATTGTTGATAAATCGTTCACCAATCTTGACCCCACATTTCTCCTCATAGAGCCCAGCCTCCTGGATCATCTGTTCTGCATATAGGTTGAAAAGGTATGGGGAGGAAAATACAGTTTAAAAAAAAAAGCAGATCTATGTCAAGAAGACAAAGATTCTCACCACTGGATTAGTTGGCAGCATCAGGATGGATGGTTAAGAGATTGAGATTGTTCACAGTGTTATTTTGCTTGGCTCCACAGTCAACACTCTTGGCACCAGAAGCCAGGAAATGAAAAGATGTATTGTGATGGGAAAGTCTGCTGTTAGGGACCTTTCCAAATTACCGAACAGCAATGGTGTCTCTCTGGAGACTAAGGTGTGTCTGATACAGGCCATGGTCTTTGCAATCACTTGTTATGCATCAGAGAGTTGGACAATGACTAAGAAGGATACAAGGAGAATTGATGCCTTTGAGTTGTGGTACTGGAGAAGAGTATTGAATGTATCATAGACTGCTAAGAAAATAAATAGGTTCATCCTGGAGAGGGTTAAACTAGGCGGCTCCTTGGAAGCAAGGATTCTGGGGCTTCGTCTGGCATACTGTGGTCATGTTGTAAGGAGGGAACGGTCCTTGGAGAGGGACATCATGCTTGGTAGGGTGGAGGGACAGCGCAGGAGGGGAAAGCCCTCTATGAGGTGGATTGATTCAGTGACTGAGATAATCGGGATGGGTGTATCAGAGACAGTGCGATTGGCACAGGACAGGTCAAAGTTTAGGGCTGTTGTACATAGGGTCACTATGAGTCGCAAGTGACTCAACGGCACATAACAACAACAACCAACATTGTTTTTAGGGTCACTTTGAGTGGTTCTTGGCTTGAGACAGCACCTAGTAACAATTTCATCCATGCTAATAGAGCTATGGAAACTAGGTGGCAGGGGACAATGCAGGTTTGCACTCTCTTATATTCACTATTACCATTTGTAAGGATTTTTGTTTTTAACAACTATTTCAAAATTTATTTAGTACTTACTTTGACAGAGTCAGAGGATTCATAGTGATCCTATGACCATGTTATTCATAGGGTTGATATGAGTCCTACCTGACTCAAAGGTACCGAACAACAGCCAGCATAGCTGTTTTCCTCTGGCTTTGCTTCTCTTCAGCCATGTTTGGCTCTGGCGCTAAAAGAGCTAAATCAACTAAAGGTAGTTACATTATGCTGCTTAAAACACATTTTTTTTCTGTTATCAGGCCACTCCTCTATCTCCTGTGGCCCCTCTTCCTCTCCCTCACTTCTAAACATCACAGTTTCAATGTTTGCTTATTTAATCTCTTCTCTTCTGTATCTTCACACTCTGAGTGATAATAATTAGCCTTCTAATTCAGGTTGCCAGCAGGATACAATCCCTCAGTCCAGATAGCTTCTCTAGCATGGTTGCAAGCCCTTTCCTCTTCAGCCTCACTGCTTAGGATATTGTTACAAAGCTCCCTTAATCTTTCAGTTATGGCGGCTTTACCCAGTCCTCTAGCAAACATGGGTCAAGGCATCTGTCTCTGGCTCCCTGGGACAGCAATCAATCAGCCCTGTCTCATGTTGGTCTCCAGTTCTCTGCTGAGACTACTGGTGCTGTTTGGTAGATCTTGATCTGCCTGGTTCAGGAATCTCTGGCTCCAAAGGATGCCTCACTTTTTCCTCTTCCTTTTTGGTTGAGATTCTCCAGTTTCTGCTGCTGAAACCACATCATTTAAAGTTAGTGAGATGAGGAGTAGCCAGACCTCTAGTAGATAGACTAACACACCTGTTTGTATGATTCTGCCCTTCCATGTGGCAAAGTCAAATTCAGGGCTAGAAAAAGCATTTTGAACAATAAACCCTTGACCCCACAGGAGTGGAAATAGTTTTTTTTTTTTAAAAATTTGTTGTTTTTAATCAGAGAACATTTTCTTTCCCCTTTTCCCTTCCTCCTCCATCAGCCCACACCCCAATCCCCTTGTTCTAGGTTATTGTCATACATTTAATGCCTAATCATATTTTCGTTTCAGAAAGTTCTTCTCTTCATTTGTTTTATTATAGTGTTTCTTTTCTAAACATTCTTTTCCCCTTTTCTATCCCCCCCATTTCTGTCCTGTTGTATAATAACAGTGTTATGCAGTCCTTTTGTGACTGAAATATTTCTCTCAGCTTAATATCCTCCAGGCTCCCCCATGTTGTGTAATGTCTTACAAGTTCATTGTTTTTCAGTGATGTGTAGCATTCCATTGTGTGCATGTTCCATAGTATTTCTATCCATTCGTTTGTTGATGGGCTTTTGGATTGCTTCCATCTCTTTGCTATTGTGAATAATGCAGGAATAAACATAGTATGCATACATCTCTTTGAGTTGTGGCCCTGGTTTCTTTAGGGTATATTCCTAGTGGTGGAACTACTAGATCAAATGGTATTTCTATTGCCATTTTTTGAGACAGCACAAGGTCATTTTCCATAGTAGCTATTACATTCATGCTAGCAGTAAGGAAGAGTTCTAATCTCTTCACAAACTCACCAGCATTTGCTATTTGCTGCTCTTTTGAAACTT